ATCCACTTTCAATCTCGTACAGATTAATCTTGCCGCCATGACTACCGGTTGCTAGGTAACGGCCATCAGGTGTGAAAACAACAGTCCACACGTCCACTAGAAAGGGCGGAGTCAATACCAGTATAAGAGTTGGACTCACTTGGTCCTCTGTCAATGCTCTTTATGAAGGAGCCACTTTCAAGATCCCACAATCTGATGTTACCATCCAGTCCACTTGAAGCTAAAACTATGAATAATTAATTAAATAAATGAGACCACACCCATTTTCATGTACTTTTAGCGGTAGGATCTGTTGCCACGGAAACTACTCCTAATTGATGCCCCTCAAGTGTAGCCCGAAGGTCCAACATAGACAGTCCGTCACTCCTGGTGGGTGTGGTCACTAGTTAATTATTATTTATTAGCATTTACCAGCTCCATATTTTGGTTGTGTTGTCCACGCTACCAGTAACCAGGTACTCAGTGCCATCGGTTGTCGGGTTAGACCAATAGACACACCATATACCATCCTCATGAGCTGTAGATCACGTGAGGATCACGTGATCAGTTAACATAATAACTTACCTTGTTCTTTTCTTGCTAATACACTGAACTAATGCAAAGAAAATAATAAAATAACAATAATCACAACCTACCATGATAACTCTTGTTTTAAAACTAAGTGAGGAAAGGGTTAAATATGAAATCGCACTCAGTGAGTGGAGCCATACTGGCTGGTACTTAAAGTAATTGTTGTATAATTGATTTACTATTTTATTATGTAGGAGTAAGGACCTTATAGCCTTGATAAAGGAGAGAAAAACTAAAAAACAAACGGGACTTTATCGTTTAATCCGCCATTTCCACGTGGTTAGAATAACCGGACAAAACCACAACTCCGTTTATTTCAACCACGTGCTCCTGTCTTTATTACACTGAGTTCAGTAAAGATGAGCAGGACTGGTGGCGGTAAGAAGCTGAAAGGGACCGGAGGGAGTATTAGAGTAGACAGGAGCCGCCAGAGGGTCTCCTCTCCTGGCGCTAAGAGTAAAGGAAGCAGCAGCAGGAAGGTTTCTCTACCGTTCCTCATAGCCTCTGGAGTGGGCGTGGCTCTAGTATCAGTATTGATTGCTGTCTGTGTACGCTGGGCTATGACATCATCACTGAATCAACCAATCGGATTGCCTCGTGTCATTAACGATGAAATGATGGGAGGGGCCCAATACAAGGAAAGACTGTGGGGGAGCTACAGGTAATTGATGTTGGGCGGGGTTTTATTCTAATTAATGCACACTTTAGATCAAACGTCTATTTTGGAATGAGACCACGATTGCCACGGTAATTAATTAATTTATTTATTTATTTATTATTGCGTACATTTACAGGTCTATAGTGGTTGGAATGGCCTGGATGTATGGCCTGGCCACACCCACTGGTGAAGTATCTTTATATATTCGTCACACGTGTCAACATGCTGATAATCTTGGGAGGTATGGGTGGGGCCAGCATGATGGGAGGAGCTTCGGACAGCAAGAAATAACAGACTCTTGTAAGTGTAGTCTAACCAGTAGGTTGCTCGAAATCTGTGACAAGCAAAAACCTACAGTCTATGTTAGTAACATTATCAGTATTAGATAATGGATGGACATTAGTTCCATTGTCACGAAATCCATGACAGTTTTGGACCAATTTTAGAGCAAATTAAAAAATTTGTTACAAATCCAGTTTTAATCAGAATTAGCTCAAACTTTCTATGCAACATAAGCACATGTATGTGCATCAAACAAAGTTATAAAAGTCGATAATTAACTCTACAGTATATGATCATTACTGGTCCTCCTCCTCTAGACATGAAGCTCTCCACTAGTTTTATCATCAACACGTTACCAGGAGCACCTGGGGAATCATGGACTGCCAGGATCAGGGCAGACTCTCGCTCGTCTGAAAATGCCACACTGTCATTATTGTTCTATGTATTTAATGAAGGGACAGAAGAATTGAGTTTTGAATTAGGAAACTCTGGAAGCACTATTGAAAGTATAACTGGAGACATTGATACTGTAAGAGCGACAATATCTTAATACTGATGATATATGAGGTGTTCTTTTAGATTGGTAATTTTAGGATTAATTTCACACCAACCGTTGCTAGGCAACCGTATTACAGTTACCTAGCAACCGATCTTAACAAGATCAGTCTGTTGTCTCATTTCATTGAGACGGTACTGAAGGAGGGGCGGAGCCCATTGTTCCCTGGAGAACGATACATATTTGACTCTAGAAAAACAAAACTAGTCGTGTATCAGGTAATGGGTGTGGTTTACAGCTATTAATAGTTATTAATAGTTATTAATTGTTAGATGCATGGTCAGTTGCCGTTAGAGTTTGAGGTCACGTATTCATCAGGGGAACAGGTTCCGCTGGTGGGGGAGAGGTTCGGAGAGGAGCTGGCTAAATATTCAAATTATTTTAATAAAAAATTTGAAGAAACGTTCAACCTTAAAGAAAAGGTATTTGGAAGTTGAAGTTGCTATTGTTATCATTATATTCCAGGGATTCTCTGATGATATGATAGCTTTTGCACAGTCAGCATTTAGTAACTTAATTGGAAGCATTTCGTACTTTTATGGAGAATCACTGTTAGTTAATAACTACTAATAAGTATCAATAACTATTCATTTTAGTGTAATGTCTCCTGGTATGAAGAAACCAATAGTAAGTGTATTATTATTAATTAATATAGTATTATTATTATTATTATTATTAATATTATTATTATTATTATTATTATTATTATTAATATTATTATTATTATTATTATTATTATTATTATTATTATTATTATTATTAATGATTAGAATTATTTCCCAGCCCCACTATACACTGGGGTCCCTTCTCGTTCATTCTTTCCTCGCGGTTTCCTCTGGGACGAAGGATTTCATCAGCTGCTAGTAACACAATGGGACACTGATATTGTAAAGGTACTGAGCCTACAGAGCACATGTACTTGTGTAATGTGATAGGATATTACCGTATACCGTTGTGAATAACATAAGGTGGTAGAGGGTGTTACTGTGTCTCATTGTCTGTAGGATGTATTGGGTCACTGGTTGGATATGCTCAACGCTGAAGGTTGGATCCCTAGGGAGCAGATATTGGGGGAAGAGGCTCTTAGTAAAGTACCTGAGGTATTTACCTGGTTGCTATGGTCACTGTTGCTATGGTAACCTGTGTATGCAGGAGTTTGTGGTTCAGTACAGCAGCAATGCTAATCCTCCAGCTCTGTTCCTCACTGTGGAGGCACTGGTGGGTAGGATGGAAGAGACTAATAAACTAATGGTAATGGACACTTATAGAGAGAAAGATACACATTACATGTATTAGCTAATTCTGACTTCACCTTTTTAGGATGTTAATTATTTAAAGAGAATATATCCAAGATTAGAAGCATGGTATAACTGGTTTATTAGGACGCAGGTAATGATCACGCCCATTTCAATATTACTCTATACCTATAATTAGAAAGGTCCGAGGCCCTTCACTTATCAGTGGAAGGGAAGGAATGGCTCCACCTTCAGTGAGCTGAACCCAAAGACTCTCACCTCAGGACTGGACGACTACCCGAGGGCCTCCCACCCAACCAATGAGGAATACCATATCGACCTCAGGTGCTGGCTCAGCCTAGCAACTAGTGTATTAATTAAAATTGGAAATATCATTAAAGGTATCACGTGATATTATTATTAATTATTATTTATTTATTATTATTAGTTCCTACTGATGATTATAAAGAATATTTAAAGTCTTTGAATGATTTTGATACTTTGAATAAACTTCATTGGGACACTAAGAGACAGGTGAACAGAGTTTTACTGAGTTATACTGAGTTATACTGATCCAATAGGTATACAGTGATTACGGGTTACACACTTCTAGTGTTAAACTAGTTACTGATAGAGATGCTAATCCTCGTAAGATGTTCATAATGTTTAATTTTGAATGGACCCTCTTTCTCTCTCTTTAGCTGTTGAAATTAGGAAAGTTATGAAGGAACCTCGTTTAAAGTATGTTAACTAATATATTCATTCATTAATTTATTTATTTGTTGTTGTTTACCAGATTTGTTGACAGTTTTGGTTATGTTAATTTGTTTCCATTTTTGATGAAACTGTTGCCACCTGATTCATTCCAGCTGGAGGCTACCCTCACTCGTTTT